TCTGCCTCTTTCAGGGTCTGTACAACCTTGGCCTTGGACTCTTTGTAGAGCTTCAGGACCACCGTGTGAGCAAAATGCGTGCATGCCGATATGGTGTACAAGGGTCTAATGTGTGGAGGAGTCGCTGAAATCCCAGATTTTCCACCACGGAAAATGGCCTCATATCAGCTGCAATGAAAACGCCTATGTCTCTCGTTATTGCCGTGGCTCTAGCACTTGACTGTGGAAGTTGCGATGCAAAAGCATTTGTCAGCATTGTCAGCACAGCTGTGGTGGTTCTGTAGGTGTCTTTGCATAGTGCTCGTGTTAGCCGCAGTATGGCACTATTTTCTTACAGTGCTTACATATTGTTCGTGTCTTGTCTGTCACTCTGTCACTGCTTATTGTTTCCACAGGGGTACCCAAAATGCTGTTACACAAACTATTTAAAAGTGGTGGGGCATTTTGTATGCTAATTTCATTGTCAGACTCATGTTGGCAGTTATGTACCAATATCTTGAAACTTTTCACCTGGAAGAGAAACACTGTCACATTTTAATATCGCCAGATCTTGTGGCACGAGATCTCATCACACCGCTAATGTTAACTCTTTTTTGCTTCTATGTCTATCACTTCTTTTCTTCTACTGAAGTTAGCATGCTAACTAGCTAGCTCCAGCCCAATTGGAGTGGCTCATCACTTTTCAATACCAAGTCACTGTAGCATCCAGACTGTCCTGAGGAAGTAGGTGCTCAGAGGATATATTATAACCTCGTCTTCAAGCTCTTGGAAAGACTGGAAAGTAAACGGATGTTAATGCTAACTTACAAACAACTCCATTAACTTATTCCTACATCTGTTGCAGTTGTTGATGTTTATGTCATTGTTAGCTAATCTGCCCAACATGATAGCTCATCTAATGTTGGCTAACAGACTATAAAAAAACCAAAAGAATTATGGTCAAATTCAATTTTAGTTACTGTTCCTAAACAAAGACATGACATCAGCTTTACTCTTTAAGATATCAGACACACATTATAAATTCCACATTTTCAAAAACACAATTTTAATTTAGACATTTACATTAACTTGCAAGCTCAGTTATATAACGTTAGCTTCACTTTCGGTTGAAAGCTTAACTAACTAACAAATGCTACGTAGCTATCTCTCATGAACTATGAAAAGCAAACCTTTTGTAAAAATATAACTTAAACTATAAAGTTGATAATGTAAAGAAATTAATTTTTTTTTTTTAAACAATTACCTTTTAATATAATTCCACCATATCAACGGGCAATGTTTCCATGAACCAAAAGGAGTTCTGTATTGATTTGACAGACAGCTTTTGACAGCTTGTTCCACTCACTTGTGCAACTTTGTGAGACACAATAAACTCGTAATGTATAAAGTGATATATAAATAGTATCACAGTGTTATCACAGGGGGTTAGGGGGAGGGGCTGGAGGTCGGTGACATTTACTCCTATAAGTACCAGAGCACACCTATGACTTGAAGCTTATGTAACCACTACAGGGGCAAGTTTACATACATTAGTCAACGTCAGACTTCAGCTGAGCACACGGTCAAATATTACACTGACTTTGTGAATGGTTTCCTCATGTTGACATTATAAGCAAGCTTTCATTTCCAGCAGGCATTGTGGATGCAGAACAAGCTGTCAGAGTTTAATAGGCTGGCTTTGTAATGTTTCTGTGCACGGAAAGAAATATCATAAGAACCACTGCAAAATCTATATAGGGGAAACACAGTATCATAAATGTACAATTCTGCTGTGGTAAATGAAATGCAAGGTGCATTATTTCATTTGATACAGTTTTCATTTTGCACAAAAAATGAAATGTGAGGAAGGAGTAGGAACAACTGACAAAGCATTCCTGCAGCTGCTTCTTCTCATAAAAGTGAACATTTAGAGAAAGTTCCTTGAACAAATTTATAAAGAAAAACTACAACCTTAAGGAACTTTTAAGGAACACACCCGGGAGATTACCTGTTTGCTCACAGTATTGTGGCATAGACTATCACCTTCATTTGTATTAAAGTTAGGCTGTATTATTGTTTTCTGACTGGCTTCAGTGTACATTGCTCCAGAGATATAACAGTTTCAGCACTAATAAGAAAACAAATGAAAGTTTACAGGCCCGAGTCAAGCTCTCAAATATGGCATCAAAGCAAAGTTTTAGACCACGTGTTAGCACACTGGCTGCACTTTGACGTTCACCCAGTCAGTGTGGCAATAACAGATAGTACAGCTGACAGAGTGCTGGGAGCTCTGTCCATGCTGTAACTTTTCATAGCGCTGTCACTTAGCAGCCAGCAGCTAATTTGACTGTTTACAGCCCCTCGGCTCGGTTGACATCACCAGCTAAAGTTAATGTCATCTCTTGTGGCCATGTTTCTGACCAATTCAACACGGTGCCGTGGACCATGGCTGTGATATAAACTTCTCCTGCACTAGTGGCTCGCTAGCTCGTTAGCAGCCGGACTGAAAAGGCTGTGACACCGCTTACCTGGTACTCCATGCCCGGTATCTGAGGCGCCGTCTTGGTGCTGTAGTATCTGAATGAAAGGCCCGCCAACTTGCGCGCCCAATCCTGCTTTCGGAGCCGCGCGGCAAACACGGAACCCGACTGCAAAACGCGCAACATGCACACCATCATGAGGCGCCGAGCTGTCACAGGAAGCGGCAGCCAAATATGGGAGGGTCTTGTCACAGACGTAATGACGTCACGACAAGGCCCCCGCTCCCTCTTTTTTTTCACGAACAATAATAATAAATAAATAATAAATGATATAAATTATTATTATATTTTTTCTATGATTATTATTTTGTTCTATTGTTCTATTCTTTTTACAATTATATTGAGGTTACATCATTTATTATCACTATACTTTCTTTTTCGCTCCCCATACATGCCACCATGCCATTCTTTACCCTCACACCAGTCTACTCACAAAACATAGATACATATGATCATCTCTCATACAAACATGCAAACACATGCACACACACACACACACACAGTCACACACACATTACGGACTCATTCCATACACATCATATTCCTGTCATTTTTACTCAACATGCATCTCTATATCTGTTCCTGTTTTAGTTGTCATCTGCATGTCTGTCCATTATGTCCTAAGTATCTTTCATGCCACACTTGTTTTTGTTATGTTACCAATGAAAAAAAAAAGTTAGAATATTCACTTGATATTAGGTTAGATATGATTGATCAGATACCTGACGACAAGCACATAGGAAGGTGGTCATGAAGTTTTGGGGCCCTATCTCTCACTACAGCGGCTCCAGGCACAACACAAGTGTCTTTGGTCAGGCATATTGTTTGTCTTGAGGCATCAGAAAGCGACACCTGCTGGTCTGAAGTCAATGGCGCAGCAACTCACTGTTATTTTAAGGACGCTTCCTGACATAATTGTGCCGCTTTGTGCTGCCGTTCCAGAGTGCCGCGCCAGAGCGCAGTGCCATTACGCACGGCCGATCACTGTGTTTACTTTCAGTAAATCGCCTGAAACCGACACCAGCTGCACTATGATCACACACTTCTACATTCATCAGACTGCTCGATTATAACTCGATATAACCGCAGGGAGACTTCCACACCCGGGTGTACCCGGCTTTTGAAGGGGATGGGAGATGGCACTCTGATTGGTTTATTGCATATTACCGACAAAACACTCACAAGATCACTTCATATTCAATTCAATTTTTTCCAACGTTAAACTAGCAAAATAGAGCCCTTGGACTGTAATACTCCAAATATTACATTTTAGATTATGTGGACCATAACATTTATAAAAATAATAATAATATTGAATCCTCACATATCTAGTTAATTTTACTGTGGCATTTATTTATTTATATATTTTGTCGAAATGTAACATTTTTGTGGACGAAATCCCAATCAACTGCCACACTGATACTTTATCTGTGCGTTTATTTACATTTTTGTTACTTGCTAAACAAAATGTTGTTATGTGCATATTCAGAATCTTTAGTTGTACGCACATTTTTGGAGATAGGCTACTGATATATGTAATAATCTTTGCAATAACAGACACATTAGAAAAGATTTGAACCATTTACATTTTCTGCAGCAAAATTATTTGGTCTTACATTATGGGTGATTTACAGTGGGAAAAAGCTTGTTGTATCCAACAGAAATGCTGCATTAGTAATAAAGTCAAAGATCCCCCCAGATTTTACATCATATTTACATTGCAGTTCCCTGATCTCTGCAATTCAGATAAGAAGAACTTTTTATTTGTTTGTTAACTGTGTTCACTCAGATTTCGGATTATCGAACTTTAATTAGAACGAAATGGGAGCTAATGTGTAGATTGATGTGTCTGATTTAAGGTTAACAAATACATTTGGCTGCATACCGAGTTAAAGGTTAGCCTATTGACTGAGTTATTAACTTTGGTTTAACTTTGAAATGCAGTTTGTTCCACTCATATTAAAGTCGCTTCAGAAGAGGATCTCTTTCTTTTTGAATGTACAAATACACAATATACTTATACACTTCTGGTTCAACATACATTACACTACATTTGGCTATATAGTACATTTTAATTTTTAATTCTTATTTATGCGGTTAAGATATAGGGGTGCACAAATGTAATGTGTGTTTTTATAAAATTAGTTTAATTTTATTTAAAAATATTTTTTCTATTTTTATTGACAGCTCAAATGTGTAATGGCTCAGCAGCCCACATATATTTTGTTGACCGATCTGTATTTTATAGAGTGGACCCGATCAGGCTCATATCCAGTCTGCCAGTGCCATCAGTGGGCCAGCAGAGGCCTACATCCGGGTGATAGCACATCAGCAGGTTTCCTCAGCAGGTCGCCCACTCAAAGTAAAGGGGGCAAAGCAGGGAAAAGGTCGTCTGCGAAATTTCTTGCACCTTGGGGTGGTGTGTGTGTGTGTGTGTGTGTGTGTGTGTGTGTGTGTGTGTGTGTGTGCTAATAGCTCATTGGCTGTCAGTGTGCTGCTATGAACCAGTATAATGAGTGGGCTATCATCTTGACTGCAGGTTTCCTGGAGTCATGCGCGAGTGCAGCCTGTGATTTAAAGGTTTGGAGCAGACTTGAAGTGAGGTGAGTTGTGTTCACAGGAAGATGATTACTCTGGTGTTTACCAGCGTTGTAGCGGGACTACTGGCCCTCGTTCTGTACCAGAGGATCACTTATCCCTTCTTCTGGGAGGATCTGATGTATTACTTGAAACTTCGGAGGTACAGAAAGACGCTGCAGGCCGGTATGAAGCAGGGAATCACCACATACCTCGACTGTTTTCTCCACCGGGCGAGGACGAACCCGAACAAACCCTTCATTATCTTCGAAAACCAGACCCTGACATACCAGGATGTGGATTACAGAAGTAACCAGTTTGCCAACGCGTTCAGGGCGGAGGGCTCTCTCACAAAAGGGGACATTGTTGCTCAGTTGATGTGCAACGAGCCGGACTTCATCTGTGTGTGGTTAGGACTGTGCAAAGTGGGCTGTGAAGTCGCGTTTCTTAACGTCAACGTGAAAGCCAAGTCTCTGCTCCACTGCGTTCAGAGCTGCGGGGCCAGGACGCTGGTTGTTGGCGCAGGTTTGACACGTTTTCTCACGGTTTTCTATCCACTGAGGTAAACTCTGTCAATCCATCAATCTGAGGGATTTAAAGTAAAACTCTCACAGAGAGGGGAGGGGTCTCGATTTAAGAAACACTTCAGAAGTCTGTTATTAAAACACATGCACGCCTCTGCAGAGCCGGACAAAGAGTGTTCGGGGGCTTTTTCTATCCCTCTGTTAGACCTCTCAGAGTTTAAACAGCACAGGCATACTGATGCTCAGTGTTCATTGTTATTGATAACACATGTTTATCAAAGTGCTTCACTTTTACTCACTTTGGCCCTTTTTTTAATTTCACATCTTGTCAGCAGAAAGTGAAAAACAGACTTTTTTCCCCCTGTTGTTAGCTTTCCTATAGTCACATGTACGGTGGCCCTGAGAACTCAAAGCACTGCAATTTAAGAAAACACATGCAAATAGACGGAACGCAAGCCAATCAGAAAACATCTTCATCAATTTGTCAACACATGAGCTGCAAATACTCCCAACACAACCAAACACAGAAACATGCTGCAAGTAGCACAGACTACAGAGGAAGTGTTTCTAGGGGATGCAAAAAAGTGATGAACCTGGCTGGGACAAACTTGTTCAGTGTTCAGATACTCTGTAACTGAAGATGACACATTACAAGCAGCGCCAACGGTACGAAATGGTTTACACTTCCTGTCTCCTAAGTGGGCGTGGTCATGATTGATCAGTCTCATACTCTCTGTTTTCCCTCCAAAACAGTTCAATAATCATAAGAATAACAGTATTATTATCAGTTTGAACTTTTACATCATAGTTGCATGTTCAGGTCCCTCTAAACTTCTGCAGTTGGAAAGCGTCAGCAGCTCTACTGCAGCAGTGAAACCAGAACCAGAACCAGCAGAGAGAGGAGATCTGTGTTGTTGAGAGTTTGTTGCTGAGACAGAGAAAGGTCTCTAATAAAGTTCATTTTCTCCTGTTGGAGTGAACAGACTCAGACCTGCTGCTGGTCTCCTAAAGGGGCGGGGAGGAGGAGAAACCCACGTGACACAGTGACAGGAAATGATCGTTAATACACCGTTTCCTTTCTCAACTCTCTCTGTTTCATGTTTTTAACTTCAAAAGTCACAAAGAATTTAACAAGTGTGTCCCAGCCAGGTTCATCACTTTTTAGTGTCCCCTGGAAACACTTCCGCTGTCGCCTGTGCTACTTGCAGCGCGTGTCTCAATTTGCTTGTGTTCTGTCTTGTGTTTTCTTAAGTTGCAGTGCGTGGAGCTCTCAGGGCCACCATACACATCAGATGGATCAAAATTAATGCCGACCTCACACTAAACAACCTTTCAAGCAAATTAAATTTCGAAATTCAAAATTTCCAATGTTAAAATAAAATCATGAGAGTTTTGCTGGAGTTGCGGCACACTCCTATCATCTCATTTGTTTGGTGTGAGGTGGTCGTAGGAGCTGTCTTCAGTTGGTCTGTTTTTCATCTTGAAGTTTCAATAAAATCAAACATGTTTGATATTAGCCTGTGTTTAGTCTTGGCTCATGCCAAAAGTGACGTTCAATGACACTTTCTCCAGCGCCAAACAGGAAACAACAAACAGAGTTGATAGAATGTGAGTCATTTTGTGTGAGCCTGAGAGACACAGGTAATTGGACACAAGCAAAATAATGTTAACCCTAACCCCACAATGATAGTGTTGAGTTACTAACATTATATAATAATGTTAACAATAATAACAATAATCATAATCATAATGTAGAATTTCAAAGAGCAAAAAGTGTGGAAAAAATAGTTTTCCTTCCTGTAAATTTTCACCAGGAGGATGATGGGAAATAATCTCAAAGGAATCTAGTTTTACAAATAGTGACCCAGTCTTTACAAAATCTTATAGTGTGACACTAAAAGCTCTCTTCTAGTGTGTGGGAGACATTTGTCTAAATGAGCTAAATTTACCATAAAAGCTTTAAAAATGATTCCTCAGATACACAGTCTTATAAAGAGCAGTGTGCGGTCCCATACCGAGTTACCACTGCCACAGACTGCACAGTGCAAGTGTTGTAAAAAGATGAAAGTTTCCTAACACGAGAGTTGACAGGTTGCCATGACCTCTCCCGTCAATAAGCACACCTGTGTATTTGAATGGTGTGCTGTCCCTGAATAAGAACAATATGATTATCTATTATACATATGCAGCACCCCAAACTGCTAATGACTATAGAGTGGGATCAGCAGCTCTGTACATGTGTGATCACTGGTTCTGTGTCTGCTCATCCAGATTTGGTGCAGTTGCTGGAGGAGGTGCTGCCTGACCTGAAGAAGGACAACATGGCTGTGTGGGTGGTGGATCACACATCCCCCTCTGAGGACGTCAACACTTTATTAGATAAGGTGGAACACATGTCTGGAGAAACCTTAAGTGAACTTCCTAAAGTTGACATCATGTCAAACTTCCTCTTCATTTTTACGTCAGGCACAACAGGTACATCACATTATTACGTTGTGTTATTTCTGTACCAGATAAGGAGCATACATGTGGGAACAGATTCACATTCAGGGATATACAAAGCCAGGTCATACAAAGTTCAAACCAGATTACACAAAGTGCAGAATATCATTTTTCTATTACATTAATAATATAATCTTATTATAATAAAACATAATCTACAGGTGACAGACTCCTCACACTGCACAACAATCACATAGAGACATTATTGTAATTATAAAAATATGCTAAAGTCATAATAGTGTCAATGCAAAGCATGTGGACCATCTCTACAGTAACTGGTGCCATTCTCTTCAAGGTCTCTCCAAGGCGGCCCGCGTAGGTCATCTGAAAGCCATTGCGAGCATGGCCTTCTTTACAATGTGTGGAGCCAAATCTGATGACATCATCTACATAACTCTTCCTCTTTACCACATGTCTGCTTCCTTGTTGGGGATTGGAGGATGTATACACCTTGGTAAGAACAGCTGTACTTCAGTACATGTACGATTTAAACTTTAAACCCCTAGTGTCCAGTAACGCCTTGAGGGAACGTCTTCAAATTTGGCACAAACATTCACTTAGACTCAAGGATGAACTGATTAGATTTTGGTGGTCAAAGGTCAAAGTTCAAGGTCACGTGGACCTGACAAAACACAGTTTTGGCCTTGTAAACATAATATCTTTGGAACTCCTCACAGGAATCGCAAAAAATTTGGCACAAATGTCCATCTGAACTCAAGAATGAACTATGTTGGTGGTCAAAGGTCAAGGTCACTGTGACTTCACAAAACATTATTTTTGGCCTTTTCAATGTGATATCTCAGTAATGCCTTGAGGGAATTTCTTCAGATTTGGGACAAACATTCACTTGGACTCAAAGACGAACTGACTAGATTTTTATGGGCAGAGGTTAAAGTTCAAGGTCACAGTGACCTCATGTTCTTGTGAATATGATACATCAGGATTGCCCAGAGGGAATTTCATTACATCTGGCACAAACATTCGCTTGGACTTGGAAACTCACTGTGACCTCACAATATCCATTTTCAGCCATAACAATTTAACACAGTAACTAACAGGAAAAAATGATGAAGTGATGACATTTTATATCCAAATGGTCAAAGGTCAACTTCACTGTGTAACTCAGTAAGGTTAGATTGTGACCATCTTTCAAGCAACTTGGCTGGTTGGTGGAACAAACAACCATGAGGAGGTGATTCTTGTTCTTGTTTTGTAAATCAGGAGAAAATAAATGACGCAGGAGAAGAAATGTTTTGTCTCTTTCAGATGTATTTTTGAAACTTGGACAGAGCCAGAGCAGCTTGCCCCCACCCCCACCCCCCCCCCCCACCCCCGCTAGGCAAGGCTAACCACATCCTGACTCCAGCTCTGTACTCAACACACAGACATGAGAGTGATATCAGTTTTCCCATCTCAGTCTCAGAAAGGAAACAAATTAGTGTATTTCCAAAAGAAGTGTACAGTGCATTTAAGGATTAAAACTCCAAAATATCTTATTTTTTGAACAACTGTTATTTGCGCAGTTGGAAATCACATCCAAATCCCTCAAAATGGGTACATTGAGCCAATTTGTAGTATCAGGCTGAACTATGAGCTTTGCAAAAACAATGTTCAGATTTAGTTTCTACAGCTTTTAGTTTTGCTTCCTTTTTTAAAATTATTTAGTTGGACTGTGGCATCATCAAACATAAACAATTCCAGGAAGATTAACCATTTATATTCAGTATAATGTAAGGTCGAGTGCAAACGCTGGAGGAAACCAACATGGTGACGGAAATCCTTTTCTTAGGTCTATAAGGAATTCTCACTTCCTCACATACCAGGAGAAAAGGCAAAGCAAACAAAGCAGAGGAAATTTCTCACAAACAATTTGTTTTGGCATTGACAGACATGGAGGATGCATAAAAATCTGAGTTTTTAGAAGTGTATTGTCTTACACAACTTCCTGTTTTCCTTTCCACCCTGACTGTCTTCTCCTGTGGCCCACAGGTGCAACGTGTGTGTTAAAAAAGAAGTTTTCTGCCAGTCAGTTCTGGAAGGAATGTGTACAGCACAAGGTGACAGTGGTGCAGTACATAGGAGAACTCTGTCGATACCTGGTCAATCATCCTGTGGTAAGACTGACAGTCATTTGACTAGAAGTTTAAAGACACAGTACAGACTACAGTGTTTATTGCAGCCTTTATAATGTATATAAATGGATGCTCTGTGAATATCGTGGAATTTACTTTTAAGATTTTGATGTTTTTTGTGTATAACTGTTTCACAAGCACTTTCCGCACTGTAGAATGACCCTTTTTAGATATATTTTTCTTTATGACATAAAAAACAAAAACAAATTAGCTCTTGGTTAGGCATCAAGCTAACTTGAATAAATAGGTTGTGACGACAACCATTAGTGCACATCTCCAAACCAGATTTAATCAGATGTTATGTAGAACTATAAATTCTGTCCTGATGGTGACGACTAGAGGTGAGGTCAGAAAAATTCATCCTCAGAGAACCATGAATATTGAATGTAGCCTCATGAAGCTTTGGGAGTTTCTTTCTAATCCGGCCAAAACAAATGTTCAGAGCCCCAAACTTCATTTTTGAGCATTTTTTTGGCATAAGCAATAACCAGTATATAAGCACATTTCCCAAAATGTAGGGCGGTACCTTTTGAAAAAAATGGTGCTTTTTTTACCCAAACCCTTTTCTGCCTCCAGGTTCCAGAGGAGAGAATTCACAGAGTTCGGCTGGCGGCAGGAAGTGGTCTCAGGTCAGATGTTTGGAAGGAGTTTGCAAGACGCTTTGGTATGATCAAGATCAGAGAGGGTTATGGCCTGACTGAGGCCAGCATCGGCTTCCTCAACTACACCGATGAAGTTGGGCCGATTGGGAGGGCAAGCTATTTCAACAAGGTCACCTTGCCATACTCTGCAGTTGGATTTTTCATGTGCTTTTGCAAATACAATTTGTTCATTTAGATGACAGCTTTGTCATATTGGAAACATGTTGGTCAGAAGGGTTAGGTTAGCCCTGACCCGAACTCTACTGAGCTGGGTCTGATGAAAAGATGCTGTTGTTTGCATGGTGTGGCATTATGGCATTATGGTGTTTGTGGAGCTTCACCTACCGTTGGAACTAAAATCTGATGAATATAAGTTCAGTGTTCACTCTTCTTTTAGCTCTGGTTTGATCTCCACAGATTCCTGAGAAAAATTACCTGGCTCATTAATTGTTAAATGCTCCACCATGTTCACCAGCTTATCACCTAGTCTGTCTGCTGTTTGCTGGTGAGCAAGTGGTGGGTTTATTAATGAAAACATCAGCATGGCGCAGCTGGTTGAAGAGACACTGAACCAAAGCAGAAAAATTGTAGGCAGAAAAACCAAAACTATTTTCTGAAATATGCTAAAAAAAAGCCCCATAATACTGTAAAGTTGGTATTAATTCACTGTGGGCTTAACATAGATTAAAATCAAATCCTAATGTTATTTGTCATATACTATGTCACCAAGTAGATGCAAAATGAAGTACTTAAAGAAAGTAAATGTATAAGAAATTAGTAAATAAAACAAGAAAAAGAGAAACAAAAAAAAATAGAAAAATCAAATTTCAAATCAAAATATTTGATATACAATGTATTGCTAAAGCAGTGGTTCATCATACTGATGTTACTATGGTAACCAACTCCGACGCGGCTGCTTGGATGTGTTCGTCAGGAGTGTAAGTTATTAACAGCCTACAGAAGCAGGTGTTTATGTGTGATAACCGTTGTACGTGATCCACATTGGGTTCTGTTAAGCGGCCTTGACTTGTGTATGTTTTCTGAGCTGGTATGTTGAGCTAATGCTAGCCAACTAGCCACATTATATTGCATGTGTTACATGTGTGAAATGCTAACCAAGGTATCCTATTAGCCATTTATGTTTACATAGCATTTATGGGTAACAACTCACAGTCCTTAAGAATTGTCTGTTTTCTTTTTCAGCTTTTTATGCCGTTTGAGCTCCTCAGATATGATCCACACACATACGAGCCGGTAAGAACAGCCTCCGGAAGATGCAAACGAGCACAAATAGGTAATGTAATCACATCCCGAGAACTTTTTAAATGAGTCATTCAGTCTGTAGTACGTAGGAAGACTTCGACATGTACATCCTATGTCTGCGCACAGGAGAGGCAGGGATCCTGGTAGCTCCCCTGACCACTATGAACCAGTTCCTGGGCTACGCTGGTAACAAGGTCCAGTCTGAGAAGAAACTGGTCAGGGATGTGTTTAAAGATGGGGACATCTATTTCAACACTGGAGACCTACTGCTGCACGATCACAGGGACTTTCTTTACTTCCATGACCGCATTGGAGACACCTTCAGGTACCATTATCAGCAAAGCATTTCAAAGCATGTCATTCCTGATTCTCCATGGATTGATATTTCATTGTTACCATCAGATGATCCAGGTTATGGTTAGAATATTTGACAATAGGAATAATTGAGTTGAGTAAGTGTTTTAGGGAATTTGAGCAGCTTGATTGTTTCAGTCAGTAGTTTCTGCTCAGGGACATGGTGATTGATTTACAGCATCACATGTGATTGAATGGAAACTGAGAGGAAATTAAAGCGTCTTCTTACTGTAGCTGAAAGACAACAGACAACAGTGATGGCGTAAAGAATCTCTACTCTCCCTGATATAATCCACATCATGATTTCAAGAAATCATAGAAAGAAAAATCCTCAATGGATAAGACGCAGAAGAGCTGTAGGAGCCATGACTTATTTTCAGAGAGGAATGGATTTTGTGGTTTATGTTTTGGGTGGTTGTGGTTTATATATTGTTGTTCATTAGTGTTTGTGATATCATTCATTAATGTAATTTATTATGTGCGATCACTGTGATTATGGAGAGTTGGTCACAAGGATATGGATGGTGCCATGGATATTAGTAGTTGATTTAAGCTCTTGTTCACCTGTGTGTGGGAGGTGGAGACGGGGTGAGTGGGTCGCTGTATTTTTTGTTGACCGCCTCTTTCTTTTTGATCGCTCTTTTTGATTTTGATCATAATTTTGTGCACATTATAATAAGTTGTTCTTTTTACATTTTTTTCTTTCACATATTTTGAATTAGTAGGAAATCTTTTTGGTAGCGTGTCAGACAAATAAAACCAGGCCCGACCTCAACCTCTCAGCGACTTTAAGTTGTTTCCATTGCTACAAGAGCATAAGTTGTTTTTTGATTCCTTTGTTAATCAGGCCTATAGCTAATATATACAGTATCTAATAGTTTAAACTGTTAGATGGTGCAAATGAGATCTAAAAAGTGATAATATTGCACTTAAGTTAAGGTTATGTTATTTGACGTCCACATAAGTATCAAGCTGTGGTGATTTGGCTGTGTCAGTCCATTATAAAACTTATGTAAAGGATGGTTTCATGTATCCTGACTCAGAAGCCTTTCTGTGTCTGTGTTCTGTGAAATAAGGAAACTGAGATATCCTTCATGATTTTAAGGTCAAGTGAGGAGTGAAGAGAAATAAAAATAACTGAGTTTCCTAGGAGATAAACATTGTGGTTATTTTACTGTGGTGGTTCCTTGACAAAGATATCTCCTGTCACATATACAGTGGTTTCAGAAAGTGTTGAGACCCCTTCGCTTTATGCACTTAATTGTGTTGTAGATTTAAATGTAAAATGATAAAATTGCCATATTTGCCAATGTTCAGACTCCAAGAGTGAGAAACACACACAGGTGAGAGACAAGACAAGATAGTCGAAGAAACAAGCGTGGAAAGTGGGGCAGTGGGTTATGAGAAGGAAAGAAAAAGAGGACAGCATGTGTTAAAGCTGTTTAACTGTAAAGATATGCTGAGATTGTTTATTATAAAAATGGTTGACACTGTTAAGATGTGAAATGGAGTTGACAAAAAAAAGAAGCTACATTTTTTGTTTTGCACTTTATTTTCAGATGCACATTTCTCAAAAGCTGGGGGATATTTTCTCGGCACACTTTGGGCCCCTTAGAACCAATTGAGCATCATTGAAACGCCACAGCTTACCTGAGTATTGTGGCTGGTCCATCCCTTTAGGACCACAGTGCACCCATCTTCTGATGGCTACTTCCAGCAGGATAACGTGCCATGTCACAAAGCTCAAATCATCTCAAACTGGTTCCTTGAACATGAAAATGAGTTCACTGTACTCAAATTTCCCCCACAGTCACCAGATCTAAATCCAATAGAGCATCTTTGGGATGTGGTGGAATGGGAGATTAGCATCATGGATGTGCAGCTGACAAATCTGCAGCAGCTGCGCAATGCTATCATGTCAATATGGACCAAATCCTCTGAGGAATGTTTCCAGCACCTTGTTGAATCTTTCCCACAAAGAATTAAGGCAGTTCTGAAGGCAAAAGGGGGTCCAACCTGGTACTAGCAAGGTGTACCTAATAAAGTGGCCGCTGAGTGTATATTTCTCTATACTATTATTCATACAGTATTTTATGTTCTTGGCTATAATAAATATTTTTATAAGAACAATGTGACAATGTGAAAGTGATGAATCTGCACAGAATTATCATCAGATTCTGCAGCTTCCCTAAACTTTACAGTGCTTCATAGTGATTTTCTGCTCTCGTTATTCAGCTGCGCGGCTCATACAACTTTACTGTTTTGAGTCACTCTCAGTGCTCTCATAGCGTCTTCGTTGCAACTGTTTTCAGCTAAAGAGACAGATATCTTTGGAGTTGATCAATTAGAAACCAAAAACAGAGCTAACAGAGAGTGAATTTTGGACTTGTGGAAACAAAGACTACTCAAAGTAAATGATAATGTAACTTAAAAGATGATCATGTCAGTTTCTTCTCAGCTTTTTCCTGCAGTTACTGTAAGATTAACTACATTTAACTTTGTGTCACACAGGTGGAAGGGAGAGAACGTGTCCACCACAGAGGTGTCAGAGGTTTTAGGTCTTCTTGATTTTATCAGGGAAGCCAACGTCTATGGAGTCACCGTCCCAGGTCTGTGTTACAATGTGATTTATAATGCTGCTTCATCTACAGTTGCTTTGTGCTTCAAAACAGTGATTTTTGAAATGTGTTTTTGAGGTTTTTCAGGTGTTCTGGGGGTAAAAGCAAAAACGAAATCTCAAATTCAGCTTAAGCTGATAGTCAGTGTTGAATTAGACAGAACAGGTGAGTGTCTTCATCCTGGTAGACTCGTGTAGGTTGAGCGAGGTTGTGACCACCAGGATGTGCTTCTTTGCTGCACAAACAGGTAATGATTAAATACTCTACTTTTGGAAGATCCCCATTTTATTTGTCTTATTCAGAGCCTCATATAAGCTTCAGCTGAACAGAATCCCTATAAATGGGCCTTGAGCACAGAAGCAGCCCTGAATTAACCAATGGGTGCACTTCGAAACCCAGCACAGTGCTGGTTGGGTGTGGGTTCTATGCCATTTGAATTTGGCGCACAAAATGATACATGCTACCTCATGTCGACATGAATCGACAGCTCTGTGTGGTGAGTAAACAAAACACCAAGTGCACCAGCACCACTGTAGGTAATACACACTACGTGGTGTATGGGTGCTGAATGTAAACGTTCTGTTGTGTCGTTGCCAACACTTGTTATTGTAAGTGTAATCACAGCATCTCCACCACTTGCTGCTGTTTGATCATCAGCTGATAGAGATTCAGTGCCATACCTGTGGCCTCATGTGCACAGGATTTAACCAGGCTGAACAGCACAACCACTTGGAACGTAGCAGTGAAATTTAGCCAGGTTTCTTGCTTAAAAGTCCCAGTATCAAATTTTTAAGGCCAGGATTACTTGGTTTGCACGGTGCAGTACAAACCATTTGATGTTTTTGGACATGCCATCTGTGGCCTTTAGTTTAGGTTCAGCTATAATTATTTTATCAGAAGGTCTGTGAAGCAGAGTTCAAGGCTAGAAATCCAACATTCAGCAGTCTAAATCACACTCTGGCTCAGTTTGAACAACTGTGGTGACGCGTTATACAAACGACAACAAAGCCTTTTGTCTATACCACCTTTATGAAGAGTTGAGGAATAACACCAAAAAGATCTAAATGTTATAACATATTGGTAGCATATAGTACTGAATCAACACTAGATAAATGAAATGCTTGGAAAATGGATATACTAGGAAACATTGATGAGGCAGATTGGAATATTGTACTCCCTTTAAATGTCAAACATCAAAACAGATTCAACTTGTAGGCTTTGGACTTCTTCAAGCCAGGAGAGCGAGTGCTCTTTGTTGGAAGAGTACAGATGCTCCAATGTGTTGATAAAGAATGTTGATAAAGGAGCTTTCGTACTGTGTCGGTCTGGAAAGACTAAGTGAGGGCAAACGGAAAGGCTTTCTTCAATTCTGGAAACCATACATAAATATCATAAAAGACAGAAATGTAGCCCTGAGCTGAAAGGGAATTGTGAACTATTAAAGGGAAATCTTTTAATTTTATTTGTATTCTTTCTGATATTAGTGCAAGTTGAGTGTTAGTGTATGTGGTTGTGTGAGTATATCTAATGTAGGTAATTTTGATCTCAAATTGTTGTATTGTTACAGCATGTTGCAATGTGTATGGAATATGATGAGAAAATGATAATACAGATATTGATGATGTTAGTAAGGCCTCTGGCCTCTGCTCCAGCTGAAGCTCGTATAGAGAACCAGACCTGGAAATTAAAGACCTGGTTTCACAGAACCAAAGTTGAAATAATCCAAACTGATGACATTAACACAAGCCTGTAGTAGGGTCAAATGTTGAAATGGGAGTTTACAGTGGGGAAAATACCTCCAGAACCAGTAGCTCCTTCCACTCCACAGTCATGTATCAAAGAAATGAAACATTACAACAAGGTAATGAAGGAACTGTAGACAGTTTGCTCTTGTTCATTCAGCACGAATTGGTGACTTGTTCCAATCTGTGTGTGCAGGATATGAAGGTCGAGCAGGTATGGCTGCTGTTGTCTTAAAACATGACCACAAGTTAAATGGAACAAAACTCTACAACCACTTAGTACAAACACTTCCTGCGTACGCCTGGCCGCGCTTTCTCAGAATACAGGTAAGTCATGCAACTACTCATGACCTTCAGTGTTTAGTTTTAGTGTAAAATCATATTTTTCATCAATGTCTATATGTGTGATTTCAGACCTCTCTGGATGTGACTGAAACCTTCAAGCAGCAGAAGGTGAAGCTGGTCCAGGAGGGTTTTAATCCAGATGTAACCAGGGACCCTCTGTATTTCTTAAATGTCTCTCAGAAGGAGTTTATTCTCCTGACTGGATGTATATATGAAGACATCGTGTCGGGAGAGATCAGTTTATAAATGTTTTAAGACATTTTAATTCAAGAGTACTGACAGGCATTTAATGATAAGATTAAGATGATCCATGTCATGGCTGCATTTCCATTTGTCTGGGCTTAAAACCCTGATTTGTGATCAGTGGCACAGTAAGTGGTTCCCAGCATTTAAAAACAAAACAGAGCTGTATTTTCTAGGGACTCTGTCTCACAGTCTGCGTATGTCAATAAGTTATGAGCAATTCTACCAACAAGTAAATTTTCTTTCTCTTTTGAATAATTTAAATCAGCCTGAAGAAGTAAAACCATCCAGAATTTAAAAAGAAAAGAAAAGAATTATTTTCAGTTAGTTGCTAACTGTAATTTTTTTTTATCTTGACAAAGAGAAGGCCTTTATTAGAAACAGGTTTCTATTGGAGACGTCTCTTTTTCTCATTTCTTAATCAGTAAATATATTGGATCATATTTCATTGTGGTCTACTCGTGAAAACTCAGCAGTCTCGATAAATTCAGCATCATTTATCATATGCTCTTTTCCATTTCACTAATTCAGTACAAAACCAGTTGTCAAACCAATCTACTGCTCACACTTTCTCTTTATAACAGAAATGCTGTTTTTATTCACTTATTATTTCCACTTGCACATGTTATTTTTTTAATTTATTTTTCTGGCTTTTTATTCCTTTATTCCAGCTGCAATGAGAAAGAGACAGTAAAGCTGGAGAGAGAGAGAGAGGGGGGGGATAACATGCAGCAAAGGGAGAAAAGAAATTCACAGAAAAGTGTTTTGATTAATGCTCTGTGGGGAAAAAGGCTTTATTTTGTCCACCTTTCAGCCTGTTTCCAGTCCCCTGGATAGCAGGCAGGCTCAGAGTCTGCATCCATATTATTTTTGTTAAACTCGACCCAGCACCACTCCCTCCTGTTGCACTCAAAGGTCAAGAGTGCATGACTCCTCCCTTTACTGGTTCAGTTACAATGATGTTAGGTTTACAGTGCTAAAGAAAAGAAAACTGCAAATCAAAGTGATTGGTGAGTGAAAATAGTATTTAGGGGAAAATGAGCAGCAGAGTGGGGAGTATGACATGACTCTGTTGTTGTACTGATGGAATTAATGTGGAAATGGATATTATATTGAATTTATTACATGAGGTATTAGACTACAAATGATTTGTTTATTAGTGACCGGCCATTCCAATAATAATTCATACTGACCATGGCCTTTATTTGAATGACTTTCATTTTGTGTGCAGACTTTTACTGAAGAATTTATGTTATGTCCTTTTTCATGCCTGGGGAAGAAAGGCATAAATACATTTATACTTCTTAAGTATAAAGTAGTATTAGTAGAAATTATAGCTTAGCATAAAGAGGTAACAGTACTAAAATGTAACTGTTTAAACTTAACAATTAATATAAAGTTCACTGTACCTACATTTATAGAAGTTGTAGCCCAGCACAAAACTGTTTGACTATACTCCAAACAACTACAAATAGTAGTAAGTATGGTAAGATTTAATGGAAGCAATGGATATAAAGAAGATAAATGTTATTAATTTATCTTAAATTAAAATTTTAACCATTTGTAGATATTTACCTAACAACTTAAGGAATAATATTATTATTTAAACAACTGGATAGAAATATTTTAACACTATGAAATTTGAAATCTTTTTCAATTCATATTTTTTACTGTAGTTTAGTTTTTGAAATAAATTAACAACCCTTGCATTTTTTTCTGCTCCAACTTTGTAATGTTTGTAAGTAATGTTTAATGAAAAATTGTTAATCTTTTAACTCTCTCTTAACTTTCACAAAATCTTTTAACCTGGACATGTAATTTATTGTTCACTGTAATTTCATACACCACTGTAAACGTAAAAAAGACCATATTTTCTTATTTCTACATTAATGTACATATGTTAAATGAATTGTAACTAATGTAAAAAATAAACTTTTAATTAATGTCAAATATTAATCCTCTTATCATTGGTCTGAAGGAACAAAGGAACAAAATATTTTTGCCCCTCATTGTTGACACTGGTATAGTTTTATAGTTACTGCCTTTTTATAATTATGTTTTGGGAGGAGCGCCGGTCACATGTTACACGAAGTTTGTCTGGTCCGGGCTCTCCCGGTAATGGGAGGAGTCGCGGTCGAGCAGACGTGGCAACACATGACGTCATCACAGTGGGTCGGTGGGTTATTCATGGGGGTGCAGAGTTACGTTAGTCCAGCTAGCAGGTGAGTAGTCGAGCCATTGGCAGAGGAATATAAATGATTCACTGACGCTTATTTCCTACAGCATTAGATACAAAATGTAAATATGACTTTATCTATATTTGAATGTTTCCTTTGAGCGGAGTGTGGTTTAAACGTGGAGCTGAGCTGTAACTGCAGCACGAAGGAAGCTAACACTGAAGTCAGTTCAAACACCGACGGTTCGATGTTGTGTCGCTTATAAACAAAGATACATACAGAGTGAAGCGTTGATTTAATATGTTTTAATGAATTTCAACTGTGTTTAAATAACCTGATACAACTTGAGACAGAGCAGTGATGTGTCGTCCTGAACGAGACTGAGCTAAACTGTTCACAACGTTCAAAAAGTTAGTTCATTTTAACCAGAGAGCAGAAACATGGCAGACAGTCATGGTCAGATGGAGGCACAACAGTTCCTCCTTGCAATGTTAAAGTATACAAGCAGGAGTGCTGGTGCACATCCGCAAGGGTGGCTCTATCTTCTAGGGGGCCCGGGGCTCCACTGATACCCCCCCCCCCCCCCCCCACCACAGCTGTGTTAGTATGTGATCATTTGATTATTAACATAATTTTATTCACCACTATGCACAATGTAAGGACAGTGCTAACTGAAGTGAAATAATAAAAGATTGTAAAACTAGATTTGAGACAAGTAAAATTATAATTGCACTGTATTTTATATTGTGTGGCAGTGGTCCATATTCCAAAGTAAACCTACACCTTTAACTGCTCTGCCATAGATGGATAAAGTTAATTGAGTTGGAATTAATGTAATCACAACAAACTGGACATGGACAGTCATCAGTTTTGTCCAGTCAGTAATTCCACCTTGCATATCTTACATAGTTGTGTTTTGCACCCAGGAAGTGTAAGCACTGTCAGAACATCTTACTGAGTCGAGAGAGAGAGAGAGGTAGATGTAAATGTAAATGTAAATGTAAATGTAACAAGCAAAGATTCAGTTAAATAGATTTTTTTTGACCTATTGATATTCACTCTGGAGGCGGCATGGTGGTGCAGTGGTTAGCGCTGTCGCCTCACAGCAAGAAGGTTCCGGGTTCGAGTCCCGGCTCGGACGCGGGGTCTTTCTGTGTGGAGTTTGCATGTTCTCCACGTGCTTGTGTGGGTTCTCTCCAGGTACTCCGGCTTCCTCCCACAGTCCAAAGACATGCAAATGGAGACTAGGCTGATTGGTGACTCCAAATTGACCATAGGTATGAATGTGAGAGTGAATGGTTGTTTGTCTCTGTGTGCACTGCGATGGACTGGCGACCTGTCCAGAGTGTACCCCGCCTCTCGCCCGAAAGGATGCTGGGATAGGCTCCAGCCCCCCCCGCGACCCTACTAGAGGATAAGCGGTAGACAATGAATGAATGAATGATATTCACTCTGATGGAAGTCTGGCCAGTCAGTGTCTTTACCGGCCTTCTCTGTGTGCCTGTCATTCGGGGTATGTATGACAGCCTGCTGCGTGCCTGTTCTGGAACAGGCTCACTTTACCAACCCGACTTTTTTATATACGGTTATAAATAAAGAAAAGAATACTAAACAACAAGTTGAGCACATCCTAATTCCTCACATCTTATTGCAGCTATACTCTGGGTTGAAGTTCAGGTATCAGGCCGAGAAGATGATGGAAGAGAGTGGAATTGAGACTACACCCCCCACCACTCCTACTCCTCCTCTGACTGTAGCTGCCCCAGTCAGCGCTCCACCAATGACCATAGGTAAGACATGTGCTGTGAAAGTCAAATTGTACAGACAAACTTCAGATTGGTAATCCATTATTCCATTATCACCCATCACCTGGAATGATGACTTTAATTATGGAGAAGCAGAAAATCTTCCATTACTGACTACAAATGATCTTATCACATAGTCATGCTCAGCAAGGTCATAATATTTTTCATTAGTTTTTTTAAATTTGTTTTGACTTTTTGTTTTCAATCTCAGTTTAGTTTGAATTAGTTTTTAAAAAGGTTGGCTTGTTTAGTTTTTTATTTTTTGATAAGGGGCGAGATTCAAAAAGGTCAGAAAAAGTCAAACAATTGGATGTATTCACTGAGGCGTGTTGGTCAGTGTGCTTGTGTCATTAACCAGAAACATTCAACTGGACACAACAACAACAGAACATAAAGTGTAGACCTGGGCACAGACATGTAAACAGTGTAGACCAGATGCAGCCTGAAGTGTACATGTGTGTGGTTGTGTTTCATTTAAACCAACTGAACATGAACTCATCAGTGAACTGGACTGTCCAGCTGCAGCTCTGTGGCTCATCACTGAAGTTCATTAATACTACAGACTGATGTATGAAATAAACTGACAGAGACCAAAACTAAAGAAATGTTGTCTGTTATTTTAGTTTAGTTTAGTTTTGTAAACACACAATACAGATTTAGTTAACTATTTATTTTTTGTATTTTTTGTATTTTATGTCTTTTTTTATTTCAGTTGATGAAAATGTTTTTTCACGTCTAGTTACAGTCTAGTAACAACCTTGCGGCTCAGTACATAATATCTTGGACACAACTATTTAAAAAAGAAATTTAAAGGACTCTTATGAAAATGTTTGTTTATGTAGAATAAATGAAGGCCAGTGTATCTTAGTGGATTGAAAATGATTGATTATAATTCAGATACCAATTGTCATATAATGACAATTGGTATCTGACTGAATCTCTGATCTCCTGACAGAAGACACAGTATCTCTGAGGTGTGACTGTAGCTGTTTTG